TTGCAACCTGGACGACAATTACGAGCAGCATCGCGGAAACGGTGGTGGTAGTAGCAGTATTATCGCGATCGGCTGGTGCGGGATTGACTACGGCGGCCACTCCTTGAGTTGAATCTACGGTTAGCAGGTCGTTCACGACCGATGTGAGACACAGCTAGTTCTAACCGAGAGAGTCGTTCACTGATATCTTCAAGTGCGGTACTGCCAGAAGGACTAGTGGAGCTCGGTCCAGTCACATTATTCACGGCAGATTTAAAGAAGCGTTCATGGACTTTGTCAGCCGCTTCGGCTTGTTTGTCCAACGGAAGCTCATCAGCAAGAACTGCTAAAATTGCCGTGGTGTTTGTTGGAAGACACTTAGTCAGGATCTGTCGGAGGATGAAATCGTCCAGGGTCGAGGAACCCACAAGTGAACGCATGTGCCGGAGGAGTTGAGACGGGCTGCGGTCACCAAGCTCTATGCCTGAAAGTAGCATGCGCAGCTGTGCTTCATCAGAAGACGTAGTGCGTTTTAGAACGGCTGATTTGAGCTTGTCATACGGCGAATCAGTCGGCATCGGATCTAGCATGTCGATCACCTCCGAGGCTATCTGTGAAGGAAGATGAGCGGTGACGTATTAAAACATCGATGATTGCGAACTGATCTTTCGAAATCGGAAGATGGCCTCCACCTAAATAAACCAAACACGAGGGTTTGAAACATCAAAGGTGGGTAACGAAAAGCCAATTGAGTTTTCACACGGTTCACGGGAAGCAGCGTTGTCAGACATAAGGAAAAAAGAGAAAAGTTATCAAAAAAATTAAATAGACGGGGTCACCAAATATAGTGTCTGACAGAGTTAGAACCGCTGCGAATAGGACCTTAGCACAATTGCTCACGGTCAGGTTACAAAAGGTGAAAATCAGCAAACCTGTCCGATGACACGAACGGAGGAATAGAACGCTGATCGTAGATAGAGATCCGACGACTGATGTGAAGCATACACAACACTCGAAGGCGGCGCAACGTCACCGACACCAGAAGACGAACGAAATTCGAAGAAGAGTATATATCTTGTTGTGAGTTAAACCAACTGTACAAAAATTGACGGAAGATAGAATAGGAAGTTACAAAGAAAAATGTGAAGATTTTATAAACACTACAGGATTATCTATAGCGGAGTAGCTACAAGGCTGTGCGCACTTACGGGCTTTACTACCGAAACGCGAGTGGTAAAAGCAGTAACCTGAGGTATCAGGTTTGGTGCGACGGTGCGATGATCCAGAGCGGTTGCAGTGCTCACGTTTTAAGGTGAGTTCTTTTATCTGGCGCTGAAGCGACGCTATCTGTAATGATAATGCGTCTATTGCCGACGGCGGGCTAGTCGCGCCTGTCGTTTTGGTTGCGCCAGCGCAAAGCTGCTTGGGTGCTTTGGTTTTTGTCTCTGGTTGGTGCCGTTCGATGACGCGGTCTGCTAGATCTGCAATTGCTGTGATTGGCAAGTCACTTGGTACTGCAAGGATAGCCTGAGTGCTTGCAGGAAGGCGTTGCATCCACAGCTCGCGTAGAATCCCTACGTCCATGTTGGACGTGCCGATGAGCTGTTGCATTTCAAGCAACAAGGCTGAGGGCATCCTATCTCCTAACTGCAGATCACTAAAAAGTTGTTGCAGACGAACCTAGTCAGAAGGCGTGATTCGCTGAATAATAGCCTGTTTAAGTGTCTCGTATTTCATTACTAGAGGGGGGCAAAGTATGATGTCTCTCACCTGCGAGGATATATCCTGAGGAAGGCAAGATATTAGCTGGTTATACATTGCAAAATCAGAAATCTTACGAATATAAAAAACGGATTCTACATGCAAAAACCATAATAAAGGTTCATTTTCCCAAAATGGAGGGGCCAATGCAACCGAAATGACCATGGCAGGCTGAACGCCGTTAACCGCGCATGGAGACGGCTTATCCTCTAGATTAGCCATTGCGAAAAGCAGATAAAAAATGTGGTAGGTGAGAAAACAAAATGATCACAAGTAATGAATCACAAAATCACTGGAACGAGCTCACCAGAAAGAAAATGCAAAATGGCGGGCAGCGTGTTCCTGACAGGGGGTCACCAATTGTTGGGCATAGCCTGGGATACTAGTCGGTAAGCGATGACACGTAAGACGTGTCAAATACGACACAGTAGAGAAGTCGGAGGCGACGGAACCCAACGTATATTGTACAGGCTACAAGAATAGGAAGCGAATCAGACAGAGCGAGAAACGTGCAGCGAGGAACTCACCAAAACGGTTTGTGACAAGGGATGCGCAGTCAGTTAAACAAATTGACGTTTCGAAGGTTAAAACAACCATAAAATCCAATGTTACAAGATACTGAAAGAGCATGTTTTCTGTTGCACTACAGGCTCTGTAGATCTTATGGAGGAACCGGTAAAGGAGAATACCAAGTCAGTCAGGTTTACCTCACATATAAAGTATCCTGATGCACCTTAGCGTCGGACGACCGTAAATCTCGAGGTATGCCGAAATGTACGTGTCTGTAGAGTCCGATCGTGAGCCAAGCAGGCAGCGATGCGCACAATCACAACAATCCACCGTCAACCAAGGAAGAACCACGGAAGGCGAGCTCGTAACCAAGTGTATGTATATACAGTTAATTAAAACAAAGCTGTACAACAACTGCAGCGAAATAGGTAAACGTGAAAATGCAAAATAAGCAAATTATTTACGATCGCTACAGTACTCCCCCCTAGAGCGTGCACTAGGAAAACGCTCGACAAGTGCCTACGGAATGTACTGAGCAAGCTTATGTGGAATAGAAACAACACGACCAGAACGTGTGTGTGTGGAGCTGCGTGTAGTCGGAGGGCACAGAGGACTCGGTGTACGGGCGTCAGCGTGTTGTTGGGTAGGGGGTAATGAGTCAGGGGCGGGTGTATGCTGAGGGGAGGAAACGGGATCAGTACTATCGACTGTAGGTTCAACGTAAGCTGGTTTGAGTCGGTCGATGCTCACGGATTCTTTTGATTCATTCTTATTCAACACGAAATACTTGGGTTTTCGTGATAAGACCTGATACGGGCCTTCATATGGCGGGGTTAAAGGTCTTCGGACGGCGTCGACGCGGATGAAAACAAACGGACACTTGTGCAAATCGGGGTGGACTTGCTGTTTACGTAGGTTAGGCCGCGTAGACGTTGGTCGAATGGATCGAAAATGCAGTTTGAGGCGTTCAGCGTACGAGAAGGGTCTAGTTCGCCGGTAGTGCGAGAGTCCAGTACCATCTCACCAGGTAGTCTGCGGGGTCGTCCCGAACACGAGTTCTGCCGGGCAGCACCCAATGTCCTCTTTGATTGTATTGCGAATACCAAGGAGGATCGCAGGTAGACGCTCAGACAAGCGTGAGTCGGATGAACTAGCCATGATGGCAGCTTTTAATTGTCGATGAAAGCGCTTGACGAGGCCATTGGCAGCGGGGTGGTACGCGGTTGTTTTTAGGTGAGTACAGCCTAATAAACGACTGAGATCACGGAACAGTGTGGAACTGAACTGAGCCCCTCTGTCGGTAGTGATGGTGGATGGAACACCAAAAAGAGAAATCCAAGATTCGACAAAAGCACTGGAAACAGATTCGGTAGATGTGTCACGTAAAGGAACAGCTTGTGGCCACCGGCTAAAACGGTCAACACATGTTAGATGAGTGAAACCGTTGGAAGGAGGTAAAGGGCCAACAATATCTATGTGAATGTATCTAAAACATGCGTCAGGAAGTGAAAATGTACCTGGAGTAGTGACTGTGTGACAGTGAACTTTACTGCTTTGGCACTGTTGTATACGTAAGGTCAAAACGCACGAGCAAGTTAAAAGGTCATTCTGATAAACGGACTGCTGTAATCTGATCAATGTCTAACTGGGTGAGTACATAAAAGTATCACAAAGAGAATGATGAACCAATAGGGAAGCAGAGAATTGGACGCTTTGTGTGTGTGTGTGTGTCTGGGGTTGTGTGCACCTGTCTGTTTAGACTAGGTCAAGAATGCTGACAGAATACACAACAGGCACCTAAGACAATGTTTAGCCCAGTGTCTAATGTCTGAACGCATATTGTGCCAGAGGTAGCGGTCGGTATTGAGCATTCCGCTGGAGCGGATAGTCGGGTGTGAAAGCCCGCGAAAATAATCAGAAGTGGCTCGACGAAATGCCCGTGGGAGAAAGTGTCTAGGATAACCGATTGAAAGGTCACAGTAAACTCTAATGTTAGTGTTAAGTACGGGCAGTTGCGTGAGCTTCAATGAGGGGTTTGAACGAAGTTGGACAAGGTCAGGATCATTGTGTTGAGCGGCCGCTATTCTCTCCAAGTCGATGGGTGTTGACGACAAGTGATTCATATGAGCGCGGGACAATGCATCAGCAACAGGGTTGTTAGAACCGTCGATATAACGAATATCAACACAAAACTGTGAAAGATAGTCCAGATGACGCGTTTCTCGGGGTGAGTAACGGTCCGAGGCAGAACGGAAAGCGTACACCAGTGGCTTGTGATCTGTCAAGAGTATGAAACGACGTCCTTCTAAAAGGTGACGGAAATGTTTCACAACCAAGTACATGGCGAGCAGTTCACGACCAAAGGTGCTGTACCTGACCTGAGCAGGTTGAAGCTTCCGTGAGAAAAACGACAGCGGTTGAAATTCGTTATCAACTAACTGTTGCAAAACTGCACCGACAGCGGAACTTGAAGCATCCGTCTTAAGGACAAGTGTAGCGTCCTCAGTGGTGTTCAAGTGATGGAGAGAGGTAACCTCACTAAACTTCTGCTTGACGGCCGTGAAAGCTGCTTCAACTTCTGGGGTTATGGTTAACGTCTTTGAGTTTCCTTTCAAAGCGGTAAGCGGATGAAGTAACTCAGCACAGTTGCGGATGAATCTGCCGTAGTAGTTGATCATACCGAGAAACCGGCGTAAGCTTCGGACAGATTGGGGCATCGGATAGTCGAGGATCGCTTGAGATTTATCCGGGAGGGGTTTAATACCTTCACCATCGATCTTGTGACCGAGAAATTCGACCGTTGGCTGACCAACTTTGCATTTGTCGGGGTTGATGGTTATACCGTGGCTTTCAAAGCGTTCGAAAACCATTTGAAGGTGTGATATATGCTCGTCGGGTGTGGCACTTGCGATCAAAACATCGTCATTGTAAACATAGACGAAATCAAGGCCACGGAGGACCTGATCCATAAAGCGTTGGAAAGACTGTGTTGCGTTCCTGAGGCCGAAAGGCATACGAAGAAATTCGTAAAGGCCAAATGGAGTGATCACAGCGGTTTTTTGCGATGTCTTCCTCCGCCATTGGAATCTGGTGGTAAGCTCTGACTAGGTCGAGTTTGGTAAAGATCGACTTTCCGGCTAGTCCAAGTAAGAAATCGTGGATATGATGGATAGGATACCTATCCGGAACAGTGACGTTGTTAAGAGCACGGTAGTCACCGCAAGGTCGCCAATCGCCTGACATTTTTGACACCAGATGGAGAGGTGATGCCCAGCAGCTGTTTGAAGGACGAACGATGCCGAGATCAAGCATGTGTTGGAATTCCTTTTTAGCTGCCTGAAGTTTGTCAGGGCGCAAGCGTCGAGCTTAAGCAGTTACTGGCGGACCGGTTGTAACGATGTGATGGCGTACATCGTGTTTAGGGTGGGAAGTATCGTTACTCGCTCGAATTAGGGACGGGAATTGTCGGAGCAATGAGCAGTAATGTGAGTCGTCAGGTATGAGGATGCGAAGCCCGAGAGAATTGACTGAAGCAAGTTTGCAGGGGATGCTTAAAGACGTAGTATCGTCTCGTAAGTTCCCACAACGTAGGTCGACGACAAGACCGAACTTGCTGAGAAAGTCGATTCCGATGATGGGCTTTTGCACATCGGCGATGGTAAAAAGGAAAAGGAAGTTACGCCGTAATCCGAGACTCAAAGTAAGTAATTTCTGGCCGTAGGTAGCGATTTTAGTCTGATTAGCTGCCTCAAGCATTGGACCAGCTGGTTGCAGGGGGCGTTTTTCCAGACAACGGGGGAGAACGCTGACTTCTGCACCAGTGTCAGCCAAGAAGTGAGGTTTGGTTGTGGAGTCAAATACGTACAACAGGCGACTAATAACCTGGGTCATGGGTTCGATCCTCATTAGAGGACCGAGGGAATGCGCGCCACTGACGAGCCCCAATAGGGCGAAACGCGTCTGGCGCTTTTCCGGACTAGGCTCTGCTATGTAGCTTGTGAACTGTTGGGATGAAAGCCTTATCAAATTTACGACTAATAACCTGGTCAGCGACAGCCGCCGCCATTACTAGCTGGCCATGTGGTTTCCCGACGTGGGAGTTGAAAAGGCTTTGGGGTGTTTACACTCTGGACGGCACTTACGCGCTGTGTCTCCGAAACGGTGGTGATAATAACAATAGCGGTGAGACTGTCTTGTACGAAAGCTGCTAGAACTCGTGGATCGAGAAACGGATCGTCGCGAGGGAACGCGGTCGCGTCTGAGGTTGGACAAGGTGAGCTCTAGGTTAGAAAGTCTCTCGTTGATTGTATCAAGTAGCGTGGTTCCAGAGAGGTTGTTTGGGCTAGTCTCAGCGACGCGGGATACCGACGTTTTAATAAAGCGTTTCTTGAACTTTATCAGCAGCTTCTGCCAGTTTGTCTAACGGAAGATCGTCGGCGAGAACAGCTAAAATAGCCGTGGTATTCGCAAGAAGACGATTACCCCACAATTGGCGGAGAACGGAATCATCCAGTATTGAAGAACCGACGAGGGAAAGCATGTGCCGGAGTAACTGAGACGGTATTCTATCTCCAAGCTCAACGCCAGAGAGTAACTGCTGAAGGCGTGTCTCATCTGAGGCTGTAGTGCGCTTTAATATGGCTGCCTTAAGTTTATCATAGGGGGGCTCTAGGGGCATGGGATCAAGGATGTCGATGACCTCAGAGGCGATGTTGGACGGCAGATGAGCAGTCACATATGAAAACATTGTGGACCGAGATGTAATCTTACGAAAACGGAAAACAGCTTCTACCTGAACGAACCAAACACGTGGGTTAGAAACGTCAAAAGAAGGTAAAACGAGTCCAAGGGAATGTTCCGACGCATTAATAGCGGGCGCGTGATCAGACATTGCGTAGAAAAAAGGAAAAATATACACAAAATATTATATAAAAATGCGGGGTCACCAATTATATGGAGGAACCGGCAAAGGAGAATACTCAGTCAGTCAGGTTTGCCTCACATATAAAATATCCTGATGCGCCTAAGCGTCGGATGACCGTCGATCGCGAGGTATGCCGAAGTGTACGTTTACGTAGAGTCCGATCGTGAATAGAGCAGGCAGCGACGCGCACAATCACAACAATCCAGCGGCAACCAAGGTAGAACCACGGAAGACGAGCTCGAAACCAAGTGTATATATATATATATATATATATATATATATATATATATAGTTAATTAAAACAAAGCTGTACAACAACTGCAGCGAAATAGGTAAACGTGAAAACGAAAGATAAGCAAATTATTTACAATCGCTACAGATGTCCAATGATGCCTGCAATCTGTCAGCATCCTCGAGACAGGATACCTTCATCCACAGCTTCATGTCATCGGCGTAAATCAGGCAATCCATTTGAAGCTCCGATGGGAGGTCATTGATGAATATCTTGAACCGTTCTGGACCAAGTACTGACCCTTGTGGAACAGCGCTAGTCATCAGCACAGGAGTGGAGTAAGCTTCATGCACCTTGACTCGCAGAGTCCGGCCATTCAAAAAATCAGCGATTCAAGCAAGGACATTCCCAGAGACACCGGTACCTCGGACTTTAAGAAGGAGCCTTTCATAGAGGGACCTTGTCAAACGCCTTGCTGAAGTCGACAAAAAGCACATCTCGCCCAGTTTTCCCTAGCAACAAGCAGGTTCGAGGTACATGAGCGTGCCCGCCGAAAGCCATGCTGGGCACAAGAGGTGATGTTAAGGTTCTCGAAGTGAAGCTGCAGAGCACGCTTGAGAATCCTTTTCATTAACTTGCACAGTACGGACGTTAGGTGGATAGGTCGATAGCTTGCAGGATCTTGACGATCCCCTCCCTTGTACATAGGTTTAACGGTCCCCAATTTCCAAGCAAGCGGGAGCCGTCCAGCTTCCAGAGAGTGACGAAATATCTGACAGACGGGAGTAACAATGTAGTCCGCCACGGTCTTGAGGAACAGCGGGTGCAGCCCATCAGGACCCGGCGAGGAGTTCGGATTTAATTGACGAAGGCCTTTGGCAACTTCATCCACACTCATTTCTATGTGCTGCAACGAAGAGGGGTGGATTGGCTCAGCGTCAACCGGTAACGCCGTCTCGATCAAGTAAACAAATGGATGTTGCAGGGCCAGTAAACTCGCTTTCGTCGCATCGTCATCAAGTAAACCGCACCGCTCTACAGAAAACAGGGCACGAATACCACTGCCAGCCCTGGCGCTTCTTTTCAATTAAGAGTGGTGTGCTTTCGGTATCGTTCTGGATTGCACAAACAAAAAGAGTTCATACTGATGTCGTTTCTGACGTTTTTTCAAGATACAGTCATTTCTGTTCAATTTATACTCCGAATAGTCAAGCACGCAGTGAGTAAGCTTGAATCGGTCCCATAATGTATGTCATTTGGACATTCAGCACCTCAATTCTTAGTCTGTCCAAGGAGAGCCTATGGTAAATGTTCGCCTTTTGCAAATAGGAACAACCTGCTCAACAAGGGAAATCAGCTTGGAGTACAAAAGTTTCTACTCTTCATCTGGGTCCGAGGATAGAGGGATATTCCAGTCCACAGCGCTAGCTACCGCTTGCAGGCGGATTGGATCAGCACGCCAGAAATTTCTGCGGAAACTATCTTCGTTGTGAAGAGTGTGGCGTCGAGTCCAGAGGAATGAAACCATACAGTGATCACTATTACCAATAGGCGGAAGAGTGGTAATGTCTGCGACATCTGATTGCGCCGGGGAAAGCATAAGATCGAGAATATGGGGTTTGTCCAACAAATATACTGTTAGGAGCAGTAACATGTTGAAATAGGTTACACGCGAGAACGGTTTCCAAAAAGTCCGCAGCGAAAACGTCTGAAGAAGTAACACGATGCAGCAAATCACAGTCGACACTTGGGGTATTGAAGTCTCCCAATAGTACACAGTCCTTTCCCCCCCATACATTTTAATGGAATCCAGCAACCGAGCTCCGGAACCCAATGGAGCTCGGTAGACAACCCCGACCATCAGGGATCTGCATCCATCATGAACCCGGCACCGCAGGGCTTCGAAACCACCGTTACCATCACAAGTAGCTTCAAGTAGATGAGCCTTGAGGTCTGCATTCCAGTACAGGATCACACCGTCACCAGATCTCCCTCCTTTGCAGTCAGCCCGGCAGAGGTGATACCCGGGAATCTGCACCACGGAGTCCAGGATATCCGCGGACAACCAGGTCTCGGTGAAAGCCATTATGTCAGGATGATTCGCTAAGGCAAAAAATTGCATTTCATCGAGTTTGTTTCGAATACTGCACACATTAGCGGAAATGACGCGCAATCCGTTCTTCACCTCTACCGCCTGGGTATGACTAAAAGTGGCTTGAGATGTTGAAAAGCCTAAACCAATAATCGCATCACACCCTGTCCAACCAATTAATGCCCACATATCCTGCCTAGCAGGCCCTATTGGGCCGGTTACGTGAAGTAAATAGAGAAAAAAGTAAACTCAGA